AACATTTGTGTTTGTCTTTCTGTTTCTTTGTCTACTAGACAACGCAGTCATGCTCCTCTCTTTGTCTCGACACACTCAATCATTGTGTTTTCATTTAACGTTAATTCCTCTTCTCTGGTAGACTTTAGGAAAGTAAAGGTTATGGCAAAAGACGAACTCAAGTGAAATGAGAATAAGGGAGTGGTTGAAGGTTTACTCCCCCAGACAGAGGATGACAAATAATGAGTATAGAGACCCATATATGAGTCTATCGTCATGGCATTCCCAATAGTATTTTAAATTTAAAAAAGCCTAAATTCAAAAAGAAAATATTGAGAGTAGATGAATTAGGATACGGGATGAAAAAGGAAAAAGAGTGGGGAACAAAAAACAAAAATGACAAGATGTCTGGCATCACCCAGGTTGTGTGCTCCCTGCATCTGTGCAAGGGAGGAGGCGGGAGAAGTTAAAACGAAGACAAAACTGTGGGGAGGAGGAATGTGGTGAGCGGGGAGGAGGCAGAAGTTAGGGCAAAGTAGTGAGACAAGGTGACAAGACGGGGAAAGAGGCATGAGTGTGATGTTTGAAGATGAGCAGTGTCCCTCGGTGACTCTCGCTCCCGCTATCCTTCGCTGCCAGATTAAACGCCGACGGGGCAGAGCGATGGGAGGGAGGAACGGGAGCGGAGGGAAGAGGGGACGGGGGTGTTGTAAGTAGGCCTGGCACCCTGCTGTGACCCCATCAATCAACACACAGAGACACACACAGAGGGGTACGCCCCCCCCCCACTAATAATGAGCTATTTACACAGAGGGTTGTTTGTGCACATCTATAGAGCTCTTCCAAAATGTAGACACACATTCTCATATAGAGGCACACAAGGGAACACGCAGAGCAAGGTGTACTCAAAACTAGAAAACAAATTACAAAAAGAGTGAAATACAAAAATAAACATCAACACTTCAAGTTTTTGTGAAATCTGCATGTGGGCTGCAAATGTAATCAAATGATATGTATCTAGGCTGCAAGTATCATCTGCAAAAAAAAGGACAAATGAATATATCCACCCACGCACACATATATGCACATTATCCTGAATTTAGCAGGTGGTGTGTTTTGTTTATATATGGTGTGTGCAACTCGACACACAGTTTGTCCGTATTACTGTGACAGACATAGATGGTAAAGAGAAATCCTCCTCCGTCCTCCACCTGCTCAGAGCTCCATTTGTATAATTGGGAAGCATCTGGCTGATGGCTGTAGCTTACTGTACACACACACACACACACACACACACACACACACACACACACACACACACACACACACACACACACACACACACACACACACACACACACACACACATGTCTCCTATGCTGTATCGAAAGTAATAGCTGGAGAGTGCAACATTATGGTAATCTGTTTTTCCCTGTGTGTGCTTAGTATATATATTTCTATCTCTACACTCATTTGCGTTATGAGCCTTAATGCAACTCTGTATTGTTCTCACTGTTGGAGCACTAACAATAAATGGAAATAGCAAAGTCCCGCTGAGTTACGTGATTATCTATAGAACTGTTGTGTCTTTATTTGTTTATGTCTGTACTTTTATCTCAATATCACAGCATGAGTTAATTTATTGCTTAGGTTTCCATCACTTCTTCGCCCTCGGTACACCCGTCTCCTGCCCTAGTTTAATAGGATTCAAGAGAAATTGTTCACACAGATTAAACACACACACACACACACACACACACACACACACACACACACACACACATTCTTGGCTGTGTTTGACAGTGGCATTTAAAAGGATTTTGATGAGGAGGAAATCAGCTCAGGTGTTATGCACCTTTAATGATGCATGGCCAGTTAATAACAAACGTTATTGAGTATTTACAGCTTCATTTTATGATAAGGTCAGCTGGATGCCCAGAGGAGGTTCAGCCACATTAGACAGGAACAAATCCTACACACCCACCACACAATATGTTTCAAATGTAGCGTTATACTCGTTAAAAGTCATTTTTATCTAGATGTAATCATGTTGGTCAATACAAGAACATATGGATAAAGCTCTCCCTGTTTCTCAATATGTTGACAATCTTAATTACATAAAAAACTCAGACAGTTATCCCCAACAAACACTGCAGGACCACATTAACACACACCAGCTGTACACAACTCTAACGGGCCGGGAAACACAGGGAAGGGAGACACAGATATTTACACACACAAACAAAGAGAGAGACACGCTGTGAAGAAGAAATCTCTATATAACTTTCCAACACAAAGAGAGTGACTTTGACAAATGGCTATTCTGAAACCAGGACGGCAGTTTTAGCCAGCACAGACAGACGAACCCACACTGTGTTTATGTGTGTGTTGCAGAGAAAAAGGCTTTGCCCTGGATAAAAACTGAAGCACTCAGTCAGCAACATGACAAACCAATCTACTGCCGCTGCTTTGAAAAGCTGACAGGACCACACACTTGCATGCACACACATGCACGCACACACACTGGATTCAATGCTTCTAACTTTCAATTATTTCTGATCCAGTTTATACGTATTCATATGCGGCTGTCCTGCACAAGGCTTGACCCCAAAAAAGAAAAGAAAAAAACAATCCCAAAAAATCATAAAACCCTCTTTTGCTTATGCTGCCCCTCAGTATCGAATAAATGGTATTAAGAATCATTACCGTGGGATTTACATGCAATATAAAACTTCAGATGTCATAGTGCTAAGGGAGAAGAAGGATTTCAAATGTATGAAAAAAATATTCTCACACCAAAGTGGTCAAAATAACATTCAATCACAGAAAGCAGAGAGCGACAAACCATTAAAAATACCCTTTTACTCAATATTGTGAACATCGTGAGCGCTTTTGCTAAAAATGTCAGGTTGGCATGACAGTAGGCAACTTTGCTGGTGAAAGTAATGGAAACCCAGAAAAAGCTTTGAAAGCCTTGTTCTTCAGAAAAGTTGAAAGGCTTAATGGACACTCGAGGTGACTAAGGAGACCGAGCAGGAGAGCAAAATAGCCGAGGGAGAGAAGTCCACAACAATAATATACAGAGAGAGCGAGACCGAGAGATGGCTGCTTTAAGAAAGGTTGACTGATGGAGAGAGATAGAGAAACGATTAGCAGGAGACACTTAATCAAGCTCACCACTCCATCATCTGGCAAAGTCCATTTCCATCCCACAATTGTCCCGTAAGCCTCCCTTGTTGCCGCGGTGACTCCCACTGACGTTCATTGAACTTTTCCATGAGTGAATATAGGACCACTAGGGTATTGCAGTCCCACTCGAGACTATTTCCACATGAATTACCGCATGATGGGCAACCAACGAGTGCGGAGACATTACATTAACTAGAACTTCCAACGGGTACATTTTACCCGCAGCTGTTTCTTGACTGTATGTAACTTTCTTTATTTTTTTTAACTTTTTTTCAATAAAATATTCAAGTCTCCCAGTCTGTGACTTTTCCTGAAAGTGTGTTATGTAGCACCCTCTGTTGTTAAAAATGGTCAATATGAAGTCAGATTGAAAAAATGGCCCAAACAATTGCCATTTATACCCATCAGTGGTCCCGCGCGTAAACATAAACATGACGTGTTGCTATAGTAACGCCTGTTGTCTACTGCGGTTCCTTATAGAGAGATGGAAAGATGGATAGAGAGATAGATAGATAAATATATAGATAGAGAGAGAGAGAGAGAGAGAGAGAGAGAGAGAGAGAGAGAGAGAGACACTTTGCACATAACTCACGGTAGCAATATTGTATACTTCATGCTAT